CATGCTTTGTGTGATTTATGCCTTGCATTAGAAGATGCATTTGACCATAGAGTTACTGACAAATACCCTTCTTTGCACATATTCTCTGAATAGTGCCCAGCTTTATTAATAGTACTCTGAACTGCTACTCATTGAAAAAGATATTACTCAGCAAAAATCCTTTTACCCTGGCTAATCAGCTAGAAAATTCTTTTTTGATCAATGCTTAGCCCCTGTTATTTAAAAGCTATGCAATTGGTAGCCAGGGGTATCTGTCAAAACGCAGCTGTCTCATCCAATTTACCACAGGTGATTGTTTTTACCAGTTGGCCAAATTACACTTTGACAGAGAGTCTTGTCTCTGCAGACTGTGAGCAGTAGGACTGGGTTTGTACACCTCTATGTGACATTCTCCATAAGGATTATTATCTTCTCCAGTCACTCCCAAGTCCTTCAAGTTTTCCTTTAATAAATGCACTGAGGAGATTTAATTTTATTTGCAGGTTATGGGCAGGGCTGGAGCATTTTGCTCTAATGTCTTCACAGTGGATTTAATAGCTTGAACACTGAGGCTCTGTCTCATACGTGTCTATCTTCACACTGAGCATATCTTCACACTGACAGAAATTTGCATGCTTTAACCAGTTAACTAAAGTTTGTGTTTAACCAAACTCAGTGTGATTTTTTATAATTACCCCATTTAGCCCAGGTGATAGTAACCCTCATGAAGCAAATATCTTGTCTGGTTTCCTTTGTCTCCCCGGGAAGTCCTTGCCTTTTCTCCTATAAAGTTCTGAAACTCTACTTTTACAGAAAATGTGTTTCTCAACAGTTTCCTCTGGGGTCTGAGCCAGGTAGGTACAGTGATACAGACAGCGATGTCAGACACTGAAAAACATACAACGGGGCCTCCAGAAACATGGCACAGAATGAAGAACAAATAATAAAATATGGTTCCATTTATTATATAGCTGCTCTTTGTTGCTTGCCTGTTCCCCCCCCCCCCTTTTTTTTTTTTCATGTTTTCTGGATTCTCAGTGTAATCAGTGACTAAAAGCATGTCGTTTAAAATGAATTAGAGTTCTACATAATCAAATGATCGCAGGAACTGGAACTTCAGAAAATGAATATACTTAGGTCCAAGATAAAATCATGAGGTCTGACGATGCTGGTTGCATCGCATGTCGGTTCTGTTTCATTAGGTTATCTGTGCAGTACAGAAAGCACTTACAAGCTTCTCAAGATCAGTTATGGGCAAACACAAAAATTAGTAGTAATGATGTCTGACCCCTCATTTATCACTGGAGAACAGAGGATAGATGTTTTCTTCTCTCTCAGCTGGGGCCATAGGACATCACGTCAGTGTGACCCATTGGGAGCTTCTGCACCAGGAGAAAAGCTGTGGTTGTACCGTGCTGAGGTACAGCTAATGGGAATGTCTGGGGGTTCTTCTTTCCTTTCTTTCACTGACCCTAATTTGCTTATCTTTCCTGAGGAAAAGACCTTGCTGCACCTTTTCTGCTGAGTCATTTCTCCAGAGAAAGCTGATTTCTGCGACTCATTAAAAGAAATCTCCTCCAAAAGAAAATCCCAAGGGTGCTTCAAAGCACAGTCCTGTCTGAGCCCTTCTGTGCTGGTTTTGTTCCATATTTCACAGGTGTAATGATGTTTTTTTTCCCTTTGGATTATCTGTGCTGAGCAATGCCTACTTCATTTGCACCTCCTGGATCCTGGCTGTACCTCTTGCATGGGACTGACTTTTGGGGAGACTTTAGCCGTGACTCTGATGAGCTCATCTTAATTCCTTCATTGGAAGAGAATTTCAGCTCTCATCCTAAATACAGTCTGTGATTCAGCTCAGTGCTTCTCTCATGCTGCCAGCAATACCTGTTTGGATCAATAACAGTGACAGTTCCTCACTCCCAAGTATGATTTCTTGTCTACCCCCACACTCACATCTGCCTTGATTACTACATTTTGGTGATGCCGTATTTGCTTCCTTACTGAAGACAGTTTGCTTTCCCTTAAGAATGGACACAAATACATAGATAAAGCTGTGTGGCATCCGTTTCATGGTCAGACTCAGACCTGAGATAGAGCCTCACAGATTTACCCTTGGACTTTTCCCAAACTTTTGGCCTCCTTCGCTTGGGGCCGTTCCCTCTGGGCTGGGATTCACATCGGGCACTCACACGATACGGAACTGTTTGCTCTTCTATCTGCTTTTTCTTCCTGTTCCTAATGCCGTTTGAATATTCTGGCAGATGTGCACGGTGTCAGTTCCAGTGCCTCGTTCTTTATTTGACTTTGGGCTGCGCTCTGATCTGTCAGCCAGCCCCCGCCCTGCGCTCCCCATGCGGATGGCTCCATCCCTCCCTCTGGTTGCCAGGGTGATGGGCTTCCCCGGTGCAGATGCTCCTGCCTTGGCTCCTTGCCATCCCTCTCCCAGAGACCGGAGTTCTCACTTTCCCTCGGATGGTGAGGATTCCTGTTTGCTCTCCTGCCTGCCGAGGCAGCTTTTCTTCCTTCTGAACAAGCCCTGGCTTTGCACCTGCTAAAAGAACGAGTGATTTCATGTGCCTGCGTCAGCCTCTGAGTGAAATGGAAGTCACCTTGTATTATTTTTTCCTTTTCTTTTTCTTTTTTTTTTCATTTGAATCTGATCCTCCTTGTGCTGGAACCCAGGCAGTTCTCATCCTCTTAGTGTGACAACTGTGATGATTGGAAAAAGGAACCCCGAGTGGTACAAACGCACCAGAGGTAAAGCCTTTCTTGCTTGTATTTCAGAATGGATACATTCCATTTCCAGTGTTGGTGACATTGGAATACAGATCCTTACAATACCTCTAAGCACCTTTATGCATAGAGCTTTAGTCAAACTTCAGCTCAGAAATGAATAAACCTCAGAATGGGACATCTTTAGATTCAGGGGTGAAATTACACGTTGTTCAGAAACTTTTTTGGAGGAGTTTGACTGTTTCTGTTGCTAGGCAAAAGGGAATCATGGGATTTTTAAATTCAGCCCACAGAACCAAAATTTGAGGTGTTGCATGCCTGCCCCAGGTTGCTGGTGCACGTCCTCATGCTGGAGTCGCTTTCAGAGGTCGGTCAGTGACCAGGTTTAAGTAACAAACCTCCATGCAGATGTGCAGTTTCCCTGGGAGTCACAACTGGGAAGTGGGCTTTTTCATCAGTTAAGCTCTGCGAGTGGTTTGCATTCCTGTTGCTAAAATGCTGTTCTGAAATCCCAGTAGGAAAATGCAGGCTAAGAATTTGGAGATAGAAAATATTTGGTAGTTCATATTCTGCTTTTCCACAGGGTGTGAGCAGTATGTCTCACATACTCCCCTGTGCTTCCTCTGGCATAATTTTAAATGGTTCAAATAACCAGGCTTTCAATACTGTGCTCTGTGCTTCTGCGGCTCCACAAAGAGGTGCACTGTTCTAATGCCTTCAGTGTAAACTGTGAGATGTTTGCAACTATTGGGATAAATCTATGCCTTGGACCAAGCTCAGCCTTTGTGCTCTGCCCTGCACTTCAAGCACTCTCACTTTACAGCTTGTTTCAGTCCAGTCTGTTTGTTTTTAAAGTAGTGATACGGATGCAGGTCTCTGGGAAGTAAAGTTATCTGTGCTTTATAGAGGGTCCATGGAAAGCAGCAATACTTCAGTGACCAGATACCCTTACAAACCTGAAAATCCTTCCCTTTCTAAAACACAGAGAATTAGCTTTAAAAGCACACAACTTGTTACTTGGTGCTGAGATCTGAAATAACATGTGCTTCTTTTTCATGGCAAGTATTCACAAAAGCTTTTTCTGCAGCGGTTGGAAAACGACAACAAAATCCATCAGGCAACTTCCATTAACAAAGTTAGCACAAAGCACTTCCCAGAGCAGGGCTTGTAATGTTTTTACATCTAACTCTAAGAAGGATGTGCTCTCTTTAAAGTGTTTCCTTGGAAGAAGCACTGGAGCAGGGTATCAGTTTTCTCTGCCAAGAGTAATAGCTGTGGAGAGCTGCGAGAGCACCAGACTTACTGCTGAAAGTTAGTAGTCTTCTTATGCAAATACAGGTTAATCAGTCCTCAGTTTCATTGAAAGACATCACATATCATAACATATCCTTGCTGTGGCTGTGCTGCCTTGAATTACTGCTTGAGCAATAAAGTAGGCACATATTTTTGCGTGGTGCATACCGTAATGTGCTATAAATGTGAAAATGTCTTTATTCATCAGTGCAGAATACTTTTGGGATGTCTTATCTTGCTGGGCAGGGAGTTTATTTTCTCACCACTTTCAGAAGGACAGTTTGCTAATGAAGTGAAGGATTAATTAAACGGATTAGTCAAAGCTATCTGATAAATTTGGGCGTTACTGCATCTGAAATAACTTTAGATTTTACTTTCCTCCATGTTATAATTGGAATAACAGATCTTTGCAGTGCTGAAATACAACAGTATTATAGAAAAGATCCTTCATGTATGATACAGGCTTGGACAGTTTGCCCTGAATTACTGCAGCTGACCCTTCTAAAAGGGTCTGTATGTGGTTAGAAGTTCAGCTGGTATTTGATATTAGTGCTGCATGTTATAGAAAGTATTTCTTTTGCTGTTGTGGACTGATTGCTTATAACCAAAGAGTAAAGTGTGCTGAAAACTCCTCAGTGTGAGCCGGAGAGTCTCAGTGTAACAAGTTTATGACTTATGCTAGCAACTGCTTTTTGAGAAGGGAACCCAATGCTATGTGAGAGTTCTGTCCAGAAATACGTTCTTGTAGTTTAGCTCACAGTTAGTAAATTATTTTGTTGAAATTATTGTTAATTGAACATCCTTTTGAAACTGACAGAAGTACTTTCAGCTATTACTGCACTTTCTGTTGTAGAAAATTCCATTTCAGAGCAGTTTCAGACCTCATCACTATGGATTTTCTGTATCTGTTTTGTCTTTTTAAGGATGCATACCTAGCAAAGCAGACACACTTTAAATTCTACATTCAGATCAGTTAAAGAGGACTTACTTACCCTGTCTTCTTCAGCTCTTAAATCCGGCATTGTGCTAACGCAAAGGCTTACAGCTGTGGTGGCCACAAAGAGGATGGACAGACAAGCAAAGACTTTGCCTGGGAGTCCCGACTGAGGATTTTCTACCATATCTCTGAGTCTGTTCATAAACTGCCCAAATTTGGTCTTCTCATCCAGGACACATGCAGCTTCTTTGCTCCTCCGGAGCTCCTCTTCTTTCCGTACCTCAGCCAGCTCCTGCAGTTTCTGAAATAATTTTCGAAAGCAGCAGTTCTCCAGGTTGGATTCCTCAATCCCCCAGTATCTCAGCTCCTCCTGGAAAGACAAGGCACACATGTCTCTTAAGAGCATCAGCTTCCCTGCTGCTAGAAAGCTGACAATCATCCCAAAAGCATTGGGGTTCCTGTCAAAGAAGAACTCACGGGTGTCTTCATCGTAATCATCACACAGCTGAATAATTTCTTCGTAGCTGCTGCAAAACTTAAGTTTGCTCAGTCTGGTCAGGGGAAATTCATCTAAAGTGCTCCAGGGTAGCAGGTATTTGATGCCTCCAACATTTATCATAATTTCTGTCTTTAGATCGACTGCAGAGGCTTGATCAGGGCGGTAAATCCTCCTGGCTCTTTGGTAATGGACCCCTTTGACAGAAGGAGTTTCAACGGAGACAGGAAAGAAATGGCTCAAGGAATTACAAGAAGCGTAGCTAATGTTACTATAGTCTTGGTCGCTGCCTCCAGAGAGAATAGGCATCTCTAAGAGTTCTCACTGGGACATCCGAAATGGCATCAGACCGGGGTTATCTGCCAGCCAAAAGATGCGTGAGGAAGGAGAAAACATAGTAGAGGTTACTGCAAGAGAAAGGGTGCTTTGGGTACTTCCCTAAACCACCAATTTAATGAGTGTTTGTAAGTAAAAGTCACCCCTGTGCCTCCTCCTGAAATCTGCAGCCTGTGAATGCAATTTGCTTTGCAGCCTCATTGGTTGTCTGGCAACACACAGGCACAGAGGAGAGCTAAAGCCTCGTTCATAATTATCACAAAGGGTCGGACGCCTGCAAATCCAAGCCAGAGCAGATCAGCCTCTGCTCTAAAATATCTCAGTCGTTGCTGGATTGTTCATTTTCCAGCAGCTGCCTCATGGCTCTCTAATTTCTGTAAACCCTTGAATACACACTAACTTAACTAAGCTGCTTAATAGTTACTAGAGTGGTCAATTACCTGCCATCAGCTGGATGCAAAGTTCTTAATTGCTTTAACTCGAATGCTCAGATTCTAATTCCTGTTTTCTTCACTGCTCGCCTGTTTTGCCTGCCTTGCAGAGCCATGGCAAGGATTAACTAGTACATGTTTGTTCAATGCTCTACGAGTAAACTGCTTTCTAAATGACAAGTATTCTTATCAGCTCGGTCTCACGTCACTGCAAATTACTGAGAAAATACAGGGAGCATTCACCCATCCTGTAGAAAACTTTGTTACAAGGACAGAAAGAAAACTACCAGCTCAGAGAGAAAAGCAATTGAAAGACACCCCCCTTCCCTTCCTTCTCTCAGGAACAAATCCCTGTTTTTGTTCATATTCTCCAAAGATTCACAGGAATTCATTACTCCAAGGCAGCAAACTACAAAAATCGCAAGGAAACTTCCCCCAAGTTACTTACCACCGTGCCTCGGGCTGCAGCCCGCTGCCTGGCTTCCCCGCAGGTGAAGTATGCATGCTGCAAACTGGTCAGCTGAGTTACGATCCAGCAGAAAGACCTGGGGATGTTTAATGGTATTGATTACCAAAAAAAAAAAAAATAGAATTGCTGTAGCACTCTGGAGATCCAAGTCTCTTTCCTCTTTTATGTCCTCTAGAAGGGGAAAATATTCATACGTGTTCATATATTGTATGTTGTACTGATAGATCCTTTGCTCAAGAGTCAGTGTCCTGAGTGGCAGCTCCTCTTCCTGGGCTCATGGGGCTTTCTGGTGAAATGTGCTGAGCGAGAGCTGCAGGATCCTACCCCCTCTGTCTCTCCTGTTTCCCTTGGGACTGTCAGTGTGGTCCTGGAAGAGGAGGGGAGAGGGAAGGGGGAAGGGCTTAGCAATAATCTCTCCAGCATCCCTCTGTCTGTTCAGCAGGCAGCAGGCAGCAGCTGAGTAGGAACATGGAGACAGTCTCCGACTAATCAGGTTTGCTAATAAGTAAATTCTGATGAACCTACTTAATAAAACAATTTTAATCCCTATTAACTTCTGCCATTGTTGTGGTCATCTTGGCAACACCAGCCAAATTCCTCAGGAGCAGTTTCAATGTGCTATATTCCTCTTGAGACTGGGATTTGCTCTTAAACATTATTAGAGGGAATTGTTATGCCCATAGATGCTGGGCCTCTGCACGTCACTGGCTGCCAGGAAAGTGCTTTCCTCCTATAAAGGAAAGGTTCTCTGTCTTGCAGAGAGCAGGTGCTGAGCACTCTGCAAATCTTCATTGCTTTTCCAACAACCAGGAACTTTCTTCTCTCTCCTGTATAGATGAAAGGGAACAGCACATAACATGTTTCTCACCTTCTCATACGTGGCTGTGGGGGCTGAGCTTGCTGTAAGGCTTTTGGGTTCTGTGTTGCCAGTAGGTCTTGGGCTGCCTCTGTCTAAAGTTGAGATGACATGAGTTTGACCCGTATTCTGCTTGCTTAGCTTCAGTCAGAGGGTTCAAGTGGTCTGTGATCAGATCTTAATGACAAGTACCCTTGATGAAGTTCCTAAATTCAGTAAGAAATGCCAGTTTATACCCAGTGTGGCTGCAGCTCCTGGACTTGAATCCTATTGCCCCTGGATTGGGTCTATGGGATTTACGTGCCCACTGGGCATATGAATGCTCCATGGAAAGGCCTTTAGGAGTTTGTACCCCAGAGCTGTGTTTGCCCTGCTTGCAGCTGGTAGTACAAGGTGCAGCTGGAGCCCTTTGCTTGCCCTGGGCTACTTCCCATTGCGCTGCTGAGGTAAGGCACCTCAGAAGCAGATCCTGCAGCTGTTTATCCGTGCTGAGAAATGCTATGGCACAGTCTGGAACAGGAAGCCTTTGCTAATTGGACCTGTTGGCACATCTCTTTTGGCCCACGTGGTGCCCGAAAGATTAACTTCTTATCAGCTGGCACCACTGGGGTTTACACTCAGGTCCTAATTATGCCATCCACTGAGAAAGGCCAGATAGATGCCTGAAGGCAACTGAGTTCTGGGAGCATAGCTCAAAATCACTTAAATCCTACCACCTTTGTGCGAGATGCAGTTTGCTCTGCCTATCAGCTTTTCTTATGGATTATTTCTTTTTGAAGAAAAAGCAAACCTATTCTAATTAAGTTTGGATGGATTGTTTCACTAAAGGATAAAACCAATTAGCATTTCCTTCTCACCTTGAGAAGCCCTTTAGCAACCGATAAAGGTTGCATTTCTGAAACCAGCTGACAAAAAGGTGAATAAATCCAAATCAGTGAGTAAATATTATACATAATTCAGTAATTTGAGTCTTATTCTTATTTAGTAGGAAATGCATGTTTTTGAAGTTTACAATTTCACATTCAGTACTGGGCACCCTGATATTTGTTTTACGGGGACTTGGAGCTCTGGCTGTGGATACATCATGGCCTCATTGCCAAAGTATCTGTGCAGAAGATCCAGTACAGATCCTCCTTAATAGTTCAGCATCTAAAGCTGTTAATGCTGAGACCACAAAACTGAAGTCTCCCTCCAGGTGGGAAAGACTTATTTCTGCATCAGTTCAAACCTCTGCTGACTTGCTTTTGTATATCTTTTTTTTCTTTTCTGTAATTACAGCTGTAGTTTTCCTGTTAATTTCCCTTTGAATTTGCCCTATTCAGAATTAACATCAAAATCTTTGTTTTTTTTTTCCATTCTCTAGTTCCCCTTTGCTTTCTGGAACTGCTCTCTCCTTGCTCCTTAGCCATCTGGTCAGATCAGCTTCTTTTACATGCCCTTCATGCAGTTTCCATATGCTTTATTTATTTGTTGATGTGAACAACTTTCCTGTCTCCTCCCTGTTGTTTCCCCCCTTTTATTATTTTTGCCACTCTATTACAATGTCTTAGACCTGCCTCTCATCCCCTTTTACAACGAGGCCGACATACTGCAGCTGAGAAGCAAGCTGAGCAGAGGTGGTTGTTCTCTAGAGAGCTCCAGGGACAAGGCAATTGCATGCTGTTGTGTAACTCTCTCAGATAGGTTAAGCCTAGCCCTGCATAAATCAGGGGTAAAGCCTCAATCTTGGCTATATATTATTTGACAGAATCCAAATTTAAGTACTCACAGCAGAGATCTACTAGGATGGAACTTTGTGTGTATGATGGTGCAGCTATTGCTATGTCCCTTTGAAATGCAGAGAAGAATCTGCTAAAAGGCATCCATCACAGTGAACAGGTTTTTCCCAGGTAGTTGGATAATGAGGTCATTTAGGGCATTAGTATTTAGGTGTTGTAATGGTTAATTGCTATAGAAAATGGGAAGTCCAGCAAAAATCACTGGCTGTAATACCTTGCTGAGTGCTGTATCAAGCAGTAGATGTATACAAATTATGTATATATATAGTGGGTTTTTTTTCACCAACCACACAATAAAACTCTGGAACTCATTGTGGTGAGCAGGATTTGGAAAAGGCCTCAGCAAGTTCATGTGGATCCAACCTCTGACACAGAAAATCGGTAGCCTAAGTTAGGTATTGTGGTGGAAGTACTGCAGTGGGCACAGATGCCCTTTTCTGCTCTTTCCAAGGTTTCTGGTGTTGCACTGGGGGGCAGCACAGACACTGGCTGGACCCTATGGAGGTGCCTTTATGCTGAGAAACCAGAGGAGGTTGGCCTGGACTCTGCTAGGTTGGCTGTGCTTTTCTGAATCGATCGTGCACTCATTGTTTGACAGTATTTTTCCATTAGAACAGCAAAAAACTGCTGGAGACAAAACTGTGTGTATATGTATGTATATCCCAGACTATATATATTCCAGAGTAATTATGTCTGCTTATAACACGCAACCTTAGCAAGAGGTAGAATGTATGCTTGGAAATTGTATATACTTCCAAGTCTTCCAATCATTCTGCAGGTAGCAGGTATGTAATTTAATAAAGAGAGTGTTGTTAATCTTCTCTTTTTGCTTCCCAACTGGGCTTTTTGTAATACTTAAATATAGTACGAAGATAATTACTTTCCTTGGCACTTGTAACTGATGATGAATTTCAGGCTTTTAAAGTCAGAAAACAAAGGTGTACATCAAAATGATTATTTAAGGAAATACGAATGCACTGAAAAAAATAAGCATATAAAGGGGAAAAAAAGAAAGAATGGAATAAATTCACTTAAAAAACCTATACTGTTTTCATTCTTTGGCTTAGAAATTAGCCCAGCACTGAATGTTCAGTTGGTGCAATTTCATCACTAAATGGTTGCATGCTTTTTTTTCTGTCAGTTGAGGCCTTTTGTGCTCATGTGGGGATTTGTTCTCTAGCACTCAGCCTTTGTGTACACCTGTCCTTTCCCAGATTCTTTTTGTTTGTGCCTTATGAATTCTTCTGTTCAATAAAATACGTATTTTTTTCATTTATTTGCAAAATAGTCGGCGTGAAATTGAAAGGAGCATTTTAAAATTCATTACTCAGTGGTTAGCATGTGTGGCTGTAATTGGATTTAGATAGCCTCGTTACATGGAAATTCAACATCTTTTCATATCCTCATGTTATTCAGTGGACGTAAAGAAGAGCTTAGCC